ATTGGGGATGGGGAAGGTCATGTCCAGGAAAGGGTCGGCTGCAGCACAATACGCTCTGGCTAGCTCCAGTTGGTGTATAGTCCATAAGCAACAGTTGCCAGCTGACACCAGTTAGAACAGTCTGAAGGCTGCTCTAACCTGCTGGGACGGAGAATCAAATAGTCATAACTAGCTCCCTGGCAGCCCACCCTCTCTGCTGCATTCAGCAGAAGCCAACAGCTGTTGAGAACCTGGCCCTCAATTTTCAGGTGAAAAAAAAAATGAATTGCAAAGGCCAGAGGATAGCACACCAGCTTCACCCACAGCTCAGCTATTTGTTTGTAATGGGAAAACTGGGTAAAATCTCCAACTATTAATGTTCTGTGACTTTTCAGCCAAGGAATGGATTCCCTTCCCTTTTCCTCTCCCTCTGCCATGCTCTATATAGTTTTTCATGCTTTGTGTTATTACTTCCAGCATCAATAGTGATGTACTATCTACCTGGATCAGGAACTTCAAGGCCTTTGCGTGGCTTTCCTGCTATAGGAATTTCCCAAATAAATCACTGTCAGAGTCCATTGATACCAGGAAGTGATACTTATAGTGGTTTCCCATTGATATCAGCTTCCCATTTCATCTGATTGGATCATTTCAGAACCGGCATAAAACAGAGAGGAGTGTCAATATCACACTGTCTTCATTTTCCAGGATCTATGAGAAATTCGCCAGTTTAGGAGACCAAAGGAAAGATGACAATTGCCTGAGCCGGAGTGACATCAGATGGGTATAACTGTCAAGATCATAACCTCTAAAATAATATTGAGCTGGGACTTCTCGAGGATTGTCTTTGGCAAGCAATTAAATCTCTTTCAGTAATAAAACATAAACAATCAGGTCAAATCCTGCAGTCCTCATTGAAGCAAAATTGCCATTGGGCTACATCCTGAGAGGTGCTGAGCACCTGACACTCCCATAGACATCAACAGAAGCTTTGCCTGTGATATAGTAGGAGTGAAGACTGAATGATTTGACTCATCATTGGTAGCTGGCCCCTTCCATCTGTGCATTTGTGCTCTCTCTTTTTTGATTCCACAGAGGCCAGAGAGCAGCTGATTTGACCCTGGAGTTTCACTGGAAATTTTTCAGAGCCATCTGGTAAAAGAAGGTATTTTGGTCATGTTGTCCCACAGGCTATAGAGTCCAGGTATCATTTCTTCAGCACACTGTAGGGCAAAGAGCAACATGCAGACAGATAACGCTGTGATTGAGCAATCTAACACTGCAGAGGCTGGGTGTGCCAAGTCAGAGGTTAGCAGAAAATAAGCGGGGGAGGGGGGGGCTAAAGAATACTTAAGTGTCACCAGTTCACAAGGGAGAGAAGGGGTTGGCAACCAATCACTGATCCATGCTCTATAATGAGAGAGTTGAATGAGGCCAACTTCAGTGTGCAGTCAGACTGTGAAACTCACTGCTGCAGGAGACTACAAAGTTAAATATTGTAGCTGGGTTTTGAAAGGGGAAGGGAATGTTATGCCCAATAATAATAATAATTTAATTTATGACCAATAATAATAATTTGTAGATTTGTATATGAAGATTAGGATAAGGATCGAGGGAGGATAAGTGGGAATGGGATCCAACTCCCTCAGCTTCAGGTATTGACCAGCCCCTGAAGCAGGAAGTTAGACACATGCTATGTTCGTAATGTGGCAGGTTATAAGTGCAAAACATTCCACTGTAGGTGCGTGATTTAAAGCAATGTTAGTGGAGAGGTCTGTGTACATAACTAAGGACCCGTGTGCATGTGGAAGGAGCAAGGGCTAGAGTCCGGGACAAAACAGAGTGAACATGGTGCACTGTATCCAAATACGATAAAGATACACTTACATTTTGGTTCAGTGTGTAGCAGCCTTTGTTACAATGATCCTCCAGCTAGCCTTACCAGAAAAGCTTACCTACCTACCTACCTCCCATCCACCAGGTTTTTTCAGAAGCACCTTTGCACTTTCTCCCATGCTGCACAATATGCATAGAAAAAACTCACCTATAGAATCCATACAGCCATTACCTTCTCTTCCTTCAAATGCCCCCTTAACTCACCTCTTTCATGCTGCCTACAAAACCCACCTCGCTGATAATATTTAGGCAGGTGGCAAGTTAATGTTACTTGCTACTGATCGGCTTATTACATCTCCAAATTGTGGTAAGAATTTATTCCTGCCCCTCCTTCTCCCCTCTCTCCTCCTGTTTGTTTGAAATTATGTCTTGTCTTTGATATTGCAACTTTTTGCGACTGAACCCATCTCTGACTATATGTCTGTACAGTGCCAAGCACAATGGAGCCCTGACCTCGCTGAGATCTCTCGTGACTAATTGCAATACAAATAATAAACAACATGCGAACAATTTGCAGTGGGAAGTATTTGCAGTTTTTATCCAAATGCAGTCTGACTAGAGAGCAGCTAATAGTATAATTTCAGGAGGCAGATCTTCTTATGAACACTTCACTCTTTGATCTGTTGGCATTATACCAATGTCCTCTGCCCAAAGCTGACACCAACTCTTTCTGGACTGTAGAAAGAGGTGGGTGCAGAATTGGAGATCCTGGAACCACTGAAAAAGAGGACAGAGCAAGTCTCCAAGTGGGAGAGCATCTGCAATGCTTTGCCAGAGGTCTGAGCCTGGGAAAAGAGCATATTGGGAAACAGGTTGCCACTGTGATGCTACAGGGGAGTTGTGAATCGGGGAGCAGAATCCAAGACATGATGGGAAAGCTGCAAGATTGATCTCTGTAAAACAGATCTGACTAGGCTGTTATCTTTGCCTTTTTCCTTTTACATTAATTTTGGTTCACTCTTTCACTGTTTGCATCTTTCTTCTTGTTCAAGCAAAGCAGTAAGAATTTGTGTTTTATTGCATTAGAAATAGAGCCGGTTGGAAATTGGGGAATTTTTCCATGGAAAAATTCATTATTTTTTTTTTTGAGAAAATGAAATGCTTTGAACAAAAACAAAACAGAACAAAATTCAGGCCTCCCTCAACAACAAAAATATTCTAGAAAAGCAGACACTTTCTGCAAAAAATGTCATGTTGTCGATAACTCATTTGTCAAAATGTTTTGACAGAAAATTTTGGATCAGCCTTAATAAAAAGTGCTGCTACGCTCAATTTCTTCTTGGAGAAAGAACCAGAGCTCCGCTCCATTTAATAGGAATGTCTATATCTCAATACCTACATAGAGCAGCTTTCCAGAGCAAAAATTCTTTAGGAGGATGAAGACACAGAATGGGAGTGTAAATAGCCATAAGAGCAAGCCCTGGCTCACTGCAACTTACCAAATATTTGCATTCTGTAGAGATGTTTGGATCTATAGAGATGTAGGCTCAAGCCACAACATTCAGATCCAGATATGGATCCAGAATTCTTTGTCCAAGACCAGCTCCACAACTAAATGTCCTTATTAACAAATGTAATTCACCAAAGACTGCTACATAAAGACAGAAATATTTGAAGTGTACAAATCCGTTAGTGTACATTTGCTACTGAAGTTTAAAACTTTTGAAGAAAGAAAGAAAGAAAGAAAGAAAGAAAGAAAGAAAGAAAGAAAGAAAGAAAGAAAGAAAGAAAGGATGCTTCATAGGCCGATTTTTGAATTCTTCCTCTTTTCAAAGTCTGAGGTTTGAACATTCATGAACAGTTGACTGTTTGAATCGTATAATGCAATACCTGTTCCTCTGGCTTAACGTTGCGATATTTCCCACACCGCAGGATTGCTTCACATTATTCTATGAGGCAGTGTCATTTTCTCTGCGGTGCTGGGTCTTCTTTACTGAAACGAAGGACACTCCTACTTCCTTTAATTATATGTTTTGTTTTAAATTGATGTCTTTTATTCTGAGCATGAATCACCAGCTTGTAAACAGGTAAATGTGGGACTAAAAGGGAAAACATAAGTCTGATTCCCAAGGTGGGTGTCTTTAATTAAAATGGACATAAGAATTTATTCTTACTTCCCAAATTTACCATAGCCCCTGCAAGTCAATTCTACTTAATAAATTAATAAATCATTGCATCCCATGCCTTTACGTATATATATCTCACTTTTTTCTATTCATTTTAAATACAACTCCCAGAGCACAACTCCATATCACTTGTGTACTCTGACAATTGCAACATACCATATAAGGCAAACATGCCAGGCCAAACTTTAAGGCCATCAGCCCTGCACACAGAGGTGGGGAGGGGAGTTTTGGATTTGCCTGGCACTTCTAATCATGGCCAGATACAGAGAGGGTCTTCTGAGGCAGTGCGTTACCCTGGTTCGAGGCCAACACAGTATGCTCTTTACACCCACTGTGACAACCTGGTTCTGAGTGCATCTGTATGGGAAAATTTTGCCTGCCAGTGTGATAAAATTCATAGGACATTGGATTGGTATTAAGATTTGGCTTCTATTCCTGGCTCCAGAGCCATCTCTAGGGGTGTGTGGGCCCAGGGTAGAAGTGACGAATCCACCACTTCTGGGACTGACCTGTCACTTACGGGACCGACTACACCAGCCAATCGCATTGCCCTGCGGGCCTATCAAAGCATGGGGCCCGGAGCGGTCGCCCCGATTCACCATACCCATGGGACAACTCTGCCTGGCTTTACCCCTGACTTGAAGAGCTACCTTGGGCAAATCACTTAACCTCTGTGCCTTAATATGTACAGTGAGAATACTGACACTCACCCACCTTTGCACAACACTTTGAGATCTACAGATGAAATCTACAGACATCACAAGCCTCAGAGGCAATGGATCCAGCCCATACTGGCCTCTATTAGCCACATCTGGCCACTTGCTGTCCTCACAGCTGGACACTGCTAAAGCCGGAGTGGTTTGGGTTGGGAAGGGAGAAGAAAAGGGCTGGAATGTGGGGAAGAAGGACAGGGGTGGATCTGATGGCTGCTTTTTCCTCCTCTATGAGGCCAGATTGGATCAGGCAGGGGAGAGACTCAAGGGTTTAAGCCCATACTAGTATACGGGCAGATGCAGTGTCCCACTGTGTGTGCATTTGTGTCCATGCCCTAGGGTCACACCAGGGTTGATTACCGCCCAGTGACATCTCCTGGAGATTTGACAACAGCTAGAGAGAAGCCAGGAGAAGGCTGCGATCCCTTTCTCCGGCCCAAATCTTTCCCTCCCCTTAATGACGGTGTGAATAAGTCCCCTCCGCTCCGAAGCCAGCCCTGTTTTTTCTTATGAATGACTAGGTCAGAGTCACACACACCAAGTGCCCCCCGCGGAGCTAGAGGCGGTAGTTTACAATTACAACTGTACAAAGTGTGCACCAGGTGGCAGGCAGCCAGCCAGTGACGTTCCTGTTGCCATGGGATCCACCGCCCCTATAAATAACAGCAAAGGAACTTTCCTAAGTCAGAGACTTTAGGACTCGGGACCTAGAACCAGATGGTCCGGAGGAGAAGCAGCAGCCGCCGCCGCCGCCGCCGGATCTGAGCCAGCCCAGGTGGGCAGCGCAGCTGGGAAGCCGGACCCAGCACCAGAGACTGAGGCAGGAGTTGCAGGCCCCCCACGTCACCTTTGGCAGCTTGATCCTGTGGCTGGGGGGCCCCCCCTGCGGCGTCTCCTCCTCCCTGCACCCCCCCCTTTGCTTTCATGCAACGCCTGGTGGCCTGGGACCCAGCATGCCTCCCCATCCAGCCGCCTGCCTTTAAATCCATGGAAGTGGCTAATTTCTATTACGAGACGGACTATCTGGCTGCTCTGAGCAAGCCGAAGCCGCGGGCGGCAGGGGGCCGCTCCATGACCGAGCTCACCGTCGGGGACCACGAGAGAGCCATCGACATCAGCTCTTACCTGGACCCCTTAGCATCCCAGCAGCCGCCGCCGCCTCCTCCTGCAGCGGCGGCAGCAGCAGGGGGCAACTTTGAGCCTCCCTGCAGCAGCAGCAGCCAAGATTTCCTCTCCGACCTCTTCGCCGAGGACTATAAAGGCGGCAGCAAGAAGCCCGACTACACCTACATCAGCCTACCCAGGCTCTGCCACCCGGGCGGCGGCCAGGGCCACAAGCCGGGGGGGCTGCTGACCTGCTTCCCGCCCCAGATCGTGGAGACCAAAGTGGAGCCGGTCTTCGAGTCCCTGGACTCCTGCAAAGGGCCCCGCAAGGAAGACGGCGGCGCTGGGCCGGGGGGCATGTCCTCCCCCTACGGCAGCACCATGCGCTCCTACCTCGGTTACCAATCGGTGCCCAGCGGCAGCAGCGGCAACCTGTCCACCTCGTCCTCTTCCAGCCCCCCCGGCACCCCCAACCCGTCCGATTCCTCCAAGTCCGGCGGCGGGGGCTACGCCGGGGCCCCCGGGGGCAAGAACAAGTCCAAGAAGAGCGTGGACAAGCACAGCGACGAGTACAAGATCCGCCGGGAGAGGAACAACATCGCGGTGCGCAAGAGCCGGGACAAAGCCAAACTGCGCAACCTGGAGACGCAGCACAAAGTCTTGGAACTGACCGCCGAGAACGAGCGGCTGCAAAAGAAAGTGGAGCAGCTCTCCCGGGAGCTGAGCACCCTCCGGAACTTGTTCAAACAGCTGCCCGAGCCCCTGCTGGCCACATCTGGCCACTGCTAGCCCCAGCGTTGGACACTGCTACAGCCGCAGTGGTTGGGGTCGGGAGGGGGAGAAAGGGCTTGAATTTGGGGAAGGAGGATGGGGGGGGGGGGAATCTGGTGGCTGCTTTTTCCCTCCGCTATGAGGACAGATTGGATCGGGGCGGGGAAGAAATGGGGAGAGACTCAAGCTTGGGTTTTGGTTTGTTTGTTTTTTTTTGTTTTGTTTTTTTTTTGGTCGGCTTTCGTTTGCAATTTGGTGGAAGAAACTTCCGCCGCAGCCTGTTTGTCCTAGGAGGGTCCTCGGCACCTTGTGGCGGAATGACAGTTGCCGATGGTAATGTTGGTTTTTTATGTTACAATCCCACCGAGCCCCCCCTTTCCCCGAAGCGGTCTCTCTGCAGAGTTTGTTGAATGTTCGTGTTATTTAAAACAGAGCGAGAGAGGGAGAGAAAAAGCCGAGAGTGATGCAATCCTTTAAACATGGCTGGGAATGCTGTGTACACATGATGCAATCTCGTGTAACTGTCAGTCATGGATTGAGTAATCTGTTAAAGATGTTCCTGCGGTTTTTTTTTATTATAAAGAATAATCTATTTCTATAAGAAAAACACATATGTATATTTTGGGATCTATAAACGTTCTTGCTACATTTGAAGCATTAATGAACAATTTTAATAAACTTTATGGCTAGGAAAAAAAGGAAATTTGTTTTATTTTAAAGGCACTTTAAAGCCAGAATGAAATCAGTTGAAATGCCAGCTAGATCTGGCTGTGTCAGGAATCAGGGCTTTCTGTTGGCCTTTTGACTTTCTCTGTGACTCAGCAAAAAAACCGGGAGAGAACCAGAGAAGAGCAGCTGTAGGAGCCTCAGCCAGTTCCCCCTTGCTGCCTCACTGAATTTCCTCTAATTCCTCGAGTTAAATACTGCTTGGGATTTTTGCAACACTCATAACTCTCAACAGGACAAGACCCAAATGTGCCATCTAAACCATGAAAAATGTTTGACAAAGTCCCTTCAAGTGAGGGACAAGGTTAAAGTGTTGGAGAGGGTGGGGAAAAGAAAAAGTAGATGAGGAAGCTTGAAATGAGGTGGGAGTCTTTCTTTAAAGTTCAAGTTTTTGTATCCGCTCAGTTTTGTGACTCAGCATTTCTGACATCTATGGTTTACAGCAATGAATAGTGATAACATGGAGTTTTTTGTGTTGGATGGCGGTTGGGCCAGCAATGAGGGACCTCTCTTTCACATAACTAGGCCCAGTGAGAAATGTGTGAACAACTCTATAATTTCCTACTGAGCCTTCTTTTAAAAACGTGTTTCTAAAAGAAGCTGCTGATACAGCTGAGTTTTTGAAAGGTGGGTGTGCGGTGGTGGTAGTGGTTTAGGGCAAAAAGTTGGGTATAGGAGAATGTATGTACGGAGCCGTAAGATCTTTGTGACAAAGATAATAGAGGCTCTGCCAGCAGCTGTACTATGTGGGATTTGTCAAGGCCTGTGAGTTGCATATGTCATGGCTCTCTATAGTTTGCTCTTGTGTATGTGCCTGTAAAATGTTACGAGAGTCTAGAGCTGATTACGTGCAGGGAGTTGGGTACATGTTCAGGTCTTATTCAGCATTTTCCAGCATACTAGGCGTACTCTAAGCACATCCATCTTCTAAATCCAGATGTCGAAAACTACAGGAAAGAATTTCCTTAACCCCTCTATACTGTGCTTTCCAGTAGGGCACAAAGGTTCTGCTTCTTTAAGGGTGTGGGTTTGAACTTGCTGCCTGTTATATATTTTACTGTAAAGGACAGTGATTGGGAGTGGATGTAGAGCAGCCTTACATTTGGTGTTTGTTGATACTGATTTTACTCACGAAATATGTGGTTTAATGAGGGAGTTGTTTTTAATTTTCAGTCACAATGATCACATCTTCCTCAGGCAGGGAAAACTCCTAGAGTCTATAGTGGAGTTGATCAAGTAACTCTCTGTTCATGAAAATCCCCCATAGCTCTCACTAGGAGCTATGCAAGAGTAAGGAGTGTGGGATTAGATTCAGTGCAGCTGTATTTCCCTTTTGCTTTGCAGTTTTTACAAAGTAATTAAGGGGCTTTTCTGAGCCCCTAGAATCAGGCTTTTTTGGGTTATCTAGTCAAAATAGATAGCAGGTTAGCTTCTTGCAGACTGGATGGATGTAAGGTCTTGCCTTGAATCTACCTAGTGATGGTGATTTCCACAACCTCCCATTACCACTGGTTCCACTGTTGAACTGTTCTTCTAGTTACAAAACTTATCCTAATATTTAGATCCTATTCTCTTCTCTGCAGTGAAGGCCCATTTGTTATCAAACTTGTGATAGTTCTGAGTTACATGGGAGGACTGCTGGCTTTAGAGTTGCTGAATGAAGGGCTGGAAATATCCCCAGGAACATTTCTTATTTCATTTATAAAGGACAAAATTTCCATCCAAATCTTTGTGTGGAGGGCAGATGTGAGGGGGAATGGAACTGAAAGAGAAGACATATTAAAGATCCTAATATTTGTTTAAAATAACATTATAAATCAGTGGGCCAAATTCCAGCAGTGGAGTTGCACCAGAGATGATGGATGGGCTAACCCGTTGCCTTTAAGCCTGGAATTGCTATAATTTAACTGGGACCCATACAGCTGTAATCAAGACAGATTGACAGGGGTACTGGTTGGAACAATTTTTATTGTGAGGGTGCTGACACCCATTGAATCAAACTGTAAACACTGTATATAATGGAAACCACTTCAAGTCAGGGGGTGTGGGAGCACCCCCCTGCACCCCTATTTCCAGCACTTATGCAGATTGATATAAAGACTACTTGGATTATTGCTACAGAATCTAATGCCTCCCTTAATTTGGACCATGTGTAACTCAGATGGAATGTATCAGTGCAACACTGAGCTTTGGTGAGGTAGGTATTACTACCCCTAGTTTACAGATAAAAAACTGAAGCAAAATGTTGTGATTTGCCAAAGGCCTCAGAGGGCATCTGTGTCAAAGCCAGGATAAGAATTCATGAATCCCTGGTTTTGTATGTTTTATCCAGCCACCTACCTTACAGTTGAGCAGCTTTGCAATGTTTTTAGGTGTGTATGGGTCATGGAATATTAGTCTTCAGAAAAAATACCTCACAATTAAAAGATTTCCTAGTATAAAATATGCAGGGACTGTTATCTGGGGGGAAACAGAAACAAAAATGAAATAAACAAAGCAATCTGTGCAATTCATTGAAGTATGATCACAGCAGAGAAATGGGGACCATCCCTGTCCAAATCTAGCTCATTCTCAAATATTGATCTAGAGTCCCATTAATAGAGCCCCTGGTGATTGAAAACAGAGTCTCATGCACCTCACTTGTCACTTTGCTCTGTCTCTTCTGCTTCTCTATGTTGAGGATGCTCATTGAGGAGCCAGATATATTTTGGGGTGTGATCGTGGAGTCTATATGCAAGCAAAATTCCCATTGAAGTAAAGGATCAGGATGAGACCCATGAGCACAATTTTGTCTCCTTTGAAATATGTGTGTACCATTCAGATTTCAGTCCTTTCCCCCCAAGTTATCGTTAACACTGATTTTTGATTTCTACCAGCTCATGCTTGCTGACCCAATGGGGTTTTGCTGGGGTAGGACATAGCAGAATTTCCCCGTCTTTAGAAATAAAATATTCCTCATGAGAACATCAAATCCCTGCCATATACATTCTGTTTCTAAAAGGCTCTACATTCCACTTCTGAATCTGCTACACCAGTGGTTCTCAACAGGGGTCCAGGGCCCCCAAGAAGGTTTCATGGTGTCTGCCACGCAGGGCCAGCATTAGATTTGCTGGGGCCCAGGGCAGAAAGCTGAAGCCCCAACGCATGGGGCTGAAGCCTGGGGCCCTGAGCCCTGCCCAACCCAGGCTGAAGCTGAAGCCTGAGTAACTTAGGTTCGCGGGGCCCCACGTGGCATGGGGCCCATGTAGTTGCCCTGCCTGCTACCCCCTAACGCTGGCCTTGTCTTTTATATGCAGAAAAACAGCTGTTGTGGCACAGGTGGACCGTAGAGTTTTTATAGTATGTTGCGGGGGCCCTCAGAGAGAAAAAGGTTGAGACCCCCCCGTGCTACACCGTTTGGATTCAGTGGTATTTAATTCCACAACAGAAAATCCATTCCTCAAAATGTATTGTTTAAATGAACATAACTAAAAATATTAACAAGTTCTAACTTTTAAGCAAGTTATCTGTCAATCTGTCTACCTTGTACTACACTTGTCACCTTGGTATCTGCGTGTCACCAATATTTTAGCAATAGTTTTCTGCATTGCTGATGTTATGTGCTGTCGCTTCACGTTCTAAAGATGCTTAACTCGCATTGCCTTCCATTAGTTACCCCTGGAATTTGCAGCAGTAGGAGTTATTGTTAAAAATTACTCTTGTTTGTGTCTGCATTCATATTTTCCTGTGTCACACTAATAAACGCAATCTTACAAATTACAAACATGCACAAAAGGATTATTGGAAGGGTCAGTCGTATATTAATTTAATAACAGGTTTGTCTTCTTGAAATCATGTGATAGCCATCAAATATCTAAAAAACAGCCCAGGGAAACTATAAATGAGGCAGTATAACTGAGTTTTGATGACTGAGATTTACCCTTGCAATCGCAGTAGTTCTAAATTAGAAGGAAGGATACTGCAACTCAAAATAATATCTGCTTTAAGAAACTGAAAAAAAAATTGGAAGCCAGATTATACCTCATCACTTATGTTTATATTTTAAACTTCAGGGTCCAATTATCTCCCTGCACCTTGTGCAGTCAGTCACATAAATACAAAGTAAGTGTAGAACATGAATAAATCAAAAGGGTAGGATTTGCATCCAGTTTGACATGATATGACTACACAACATGTAGAGGGCAGTGACGGTTTGGGCCCTAACTTCTTTTGCTATATATAAGTCCTCCTAAACATTAGAGCTGGATGAAATAATGCAAACAAAATCCTATGAATTTTTAAATGAATCCTGTTTGCACCCTTTTATGTTTGCTTTGTGCAAATATTTGAGAGACAGTTTTATCAGCACAAATTGGTGTGTTTCAAATTTGCAGGAACCAATGTGAATGGAAAGTAGAGTTAAATTCACACAGAACCACAAGTATTTGGGCTGAAAATACTTATCCAATCAGGGAACAAAAACAACACCACAAACTTAAATGACCAATCACAACTGAACAAATCAGCTCAAGTTTTGAATATTTGTGATCAGTCCATAAAAAAAAAAAAAAGTTAAATAAAATATGTTGGCAAGGTTAAACAGAAAATATATTTGAGGAAATTGTATCTCCGTTGGCAGATAGTCCCTGAATAGGAAAAGAGGCTCTATTTGGCTATAAATTTTCTTTTGCAAATTATTTGCTGAGCTCCAAAGATACTTCATAACTAGAGCCATGGGAAGTGTTTGTATAGAATGCGAAGCCATGCAAATTCTCTTGGCATTGGAACAAATTCAGATAATATCTCCCAAAATGTTTCCTGAGGTTCTTGAGTCTCTCAGGTAGAATTGGGCTCCATTTCAATCCAGACTGGGTGGATGAGCACCAGGTTGCTATAGTGACTGGGGCCCTATGTAAACACATAGATTCCATTTTAGATTGGCATCAAACTCATGTGAAATCCATGGTTCCATATGGTCCTGATGCAAAACTCAGTGAAGCGGCAATCGAGTTTCACATTGAATTTCTGGATATGTTTGAACCTGAAGCTCAAAAGATAATATTAGGGGGTGTAATACTACATGGACCAAAGCCAAAGGAAATGTATTCATGAGTTTCTGTGAAGTGAAACCGCTGAGTTCATCCTAATTCTGACTCTCCATCAGTGTGATTCATTCACAACCAAAGTGCCTTTTGGAAACTGTTACCACCTGCCTGCTCAACTGTCTTCTATTTTATGGAAGCTTCTGTTCCCCCCTAGAAAAGTGGGTGATTATATTCTGAGACAGGAGGGGTAAAATTCTTCTCGGGTATAAATGATGTCACTGACACAAATGGAGGTGCCTCCGTTTACCCCAGAGCTGAATTTGGACCCAGACCTTCAACTGGCTGCCACCAATTTCACCAATTGAGAGCCAAAATGTTCTGATCTTCATCTGCTTTCAACTTCCCCAAAGTTTGGAGTGTTTAGATCTGGTTTTGCTCAGCCCATTAAAGGGACAGAATCTAGATACACATTTTGATCCACATGGTGGTCTTGGTCTTCATCCTGTCCTGTTCCTTCATCTCCTGTCTGTGATATTTTGAAGGCCCCTGTCAGTCACCCGGGTATCAAAGTACTTCCTCAAAATTCAGGGGTGTTTGCACCTGGGGTTTTACTTAGGTCCCATGTTGTAATTTCATGCAATTAATACAGTTAAAAAAAATAGCCTTTATAAATCCAACATATTCCCTGTATGCAGTGCTCTTTAAAAACACTGACTTTTTGTGAACAGACCTGTTTCTGATTGGCTCTAACATAGAAGAAGTCTGCACACTGAGCCAATCAGAGTGAAGTGAGGAAATAAAGTCATTGATAGGGCCAACAGAGCTTAATGGTTTCTGTCCCCCCCTTTAAAACCAACACCATCATGGCTTGTTTATTTTCTATAAATACTTTGGCTTACTAGTATATTGCAACAGCAGATAATGAAGCCTGTGGTAGGTATTTCATCAACGATGCCTCCAAATTACTGATACAGTAAATAGGACTCTAAAAATAAAGTAAAAATCCCTCTGGCTTATAACCTACCGACCGCTCCCTCCTATGCTGGGCTGCCTGTGATCTGGGTCTGCAGAAGCTCAGGGAGCATGATTTATGTTATGTATCAGTGAGCCGAGGAGCATTGGTTTCAGAAATGAATGTCACAGTGATGCACTGGGAAAATATTTCTGTGCAACATGATGAAACAATTACTTGGCTGAAGTAAATCAGAAAGGGAATCACAGGAACAAGAGAAAGTGCCTGGAGCTCATTCAACAGGCAGAGGGGAAAAGCACTGCTGGCCAGCTAATAGAAAAGTTGTTTCGCTAAGTTCCCCAGCGTCGGCCATAGACAATCGTTCTGGGGGTGGATGTTTCTGACACTGATTTGCTCCACTCCTAATTGTCTAGGTATCTTATTCAGGTTGGTGAAATATTGGCTGTCTATGTCCTTATGGGCTTTTTAGAAAACAAAAAGACAGAAAGCTAATCTAGAACATGATTCAGCAAGGTCCTTAATACAGGCTTAACTGTAAGCACCTGAGTAGTCACAATGAAGTCGAGGGAACAGCTCACTATAGAATAATTAATGGAACTAAAGAAAGAAGGTCACGTTTCAAGAGGGACTTCGTCTAGCAGTTGGTACCAGGGGGCCCAAGAGTGCAAGCTGGCCCAGTCCTCTTACACTTAAAACTCTAGCGCCTCAACCTGTAAAGACAGGCCTCTCCGCATGCTCAATGAAGATATCTTTCCTACAACTATGCCTGCCACTTCAGCTATTGCTAATAAGCCATGGTGGCAGTGAATACTTCTGTGCTTAAAGTTAAACACGTGCTGCATCAGGCCCCTAGTTCTGAGAAACCAGAATGGAAGACAAAAGACTAACACTACAGCTGTGTATGTACACAGTGTCCATCAGACACACTGTATTCCCAGACACTTAGAGAGCCAAATAACAACAGCGGTGCAAAGTTAAATAATTAACAATGTAAGACAGGGAGAAAAATGAAGAGGAATGGGGATGAATGATGTGGTTAGGCATAGGCCTGTGAATCAGAAGGCGGAGGTTCTAGGCCTGGCTCTGCCACAGATTAACTATGACTTAGAAGTTTGTTAGGCCTATATTTACAGGAAGATGTATGCACATATGCGTAGCTCCAATTGTGAATGCAGTGGCAGTAATGGCAGGTGCAAACGACCTGTTTCATATCTAACCAGCAATGTGCATTGGCCAAACCGGACAGTCTCTACGTAGAAGAATAATGGACACAAATCAGATATCAGGAGTGGTAACATACAAAAGCCAGTAGGAGAGCACTTCAATCACCCTGGGCATTCAATAATAGATTTAAAAGTAGCCATCCTTCAACAAAAACACTTCAAAAACAGACTTCAAAGAGAAACTGCAGAGCTACAATTCATTTGCAAACTTAACACCATTAATTTGGGCTTGAATAGGGCCTGGGAGTGGCTGGCTCACTACAAAAGTAATTTTCCCTCTCTTGGTATTGACACCTCCTCATCAATTATTGGTAGTGGATCACATTCACCCTGACTGAATTGGCCTGGTCATCACTGGTTCTCCACTTGTGAGGTAACTCCCTTCTCTTCATGTGCCAGTATATTTATGCCCATATCTGTAATTTTCACTCCATGCATCTGAAGAACTGGGGTTTTTTACCCACAAAAACTTATGCCCAAATAAATCTGTTAGTCTTTAAGGTGCCACCAGACTCCTCATTGTTTTTGTGGATACAGACTAACACGGCTACTCCTCTGATACAGATCTAACCAGTCATTTGTGTGTACCATGACTACTCATAAATCATGGTTAAATAAGCACACAAAAGTATGTACATTTTTGTACATACGATACATGCAGTTTTCTGAAAAATTAATTGTGCTTCATCTGTGTTTCCCTATTTGTAAAATGGAGAAAAATAAGATTTATTCTTCCTCGTCAGGCTATTGAGTGGATAAATTATTAAAGATTGTAAAGCATCTGAGAGCCTCAAATGGAAGGTGCTATAAAAGGGGGAAAAGGGAGAGAGATGAAAACTGATGGTGAGCCATTGCACTGGAAAGGTACAGGGCAGCTGTTTGGGATGGCAGGAGCTGCAGAGAAGAAGGCTCTTGCACCAATAGTTTGGAAGGATGGAGAGAGGGCTGCTACACCTGTGAGAAAGGACACCGCACTAGACGTAACCTAGGTCAGAGAATTCAGCTGGAGGGTTTTGGAAGCAGGGAGGGGAATTTTGAACTGGATCCTATTTGTCTAGTGTTTTTTTTTATCTATCCACCATCGTTTTAGACCTGATCCCACAAAGACATGCTTAATTTTATGCACCCAAGCAGTCTTATTGGCTTCAGTGGGACTATTCATGAAAGTAGAGATAAGCAGATGCATAAATCTTTGCCATATCGAGGCCTGTGATTGTATAGTCTTTGGGGAAGTGATAGTGTCCTCTGTTTGTACAGCACCTAGCATACACACAATCAATCAAGAGGAGGAAAGTGGAGCTGTCTGAGGATGGGGTAATTTCGCAGGCTCTCTGTGCAAAGAGGGGAGGAAGCACCATTTTGTACTATCCAGGGGATGAACGCAAATCACAGCTGGGGAGCGAATCAGATGCTATCTTCCTCCAGTTGGCCTGGCTAGGTGGACCAGATAGCAAGTGTAAAAAATCGAGACGGGGTGGACGGTAATAGGTGCCTATATAAGAAAAAGCCCCCAAAATCGGGACTGTCCCTATAAAATTGGGACATCTGGTCACCCTAACCTCGGCAACCAGCATTGGACGCCGGTTCAATAACATATGTAAGCCCATGACAAATTGGATAAACTGGAGAAATGGTCTGAAGTAAATGGGATGAAATTCAATAAGGACAAATGCAGAGTACGCCACTTAGGAAGGAACAATGAGTTGCACACATACAAAATGGGAAATGACTGCCTAGGAAGGAGTAATGCGGAAAGGGATATGGGGGGTCATAATGGACCACCAGCTAAATATGAGTCAACAGTGTAACATTGTTGCAAAAAAAAGGTAACATAATTCAGGGATGTATTAGCAGGAGTCTTGTAA